GACATAAATATTAAAAAAACTCGGGTCCGCGCGGATTTATCGGATCGGCGCTGGACCCCCTCCTGGCGCGCGGAGCGCGCCAGGGGCGGTGCCGGAGGCGCCGCCGGGGGGCCCCAGCGCCGATCCGAGAAATCCGCGCGGACCTCCGAGTTTTTATGTTTATGTCACTTTTCCCTAATTAACCGGAGCGTCGATCCTCGGGCGCGGGGGGGCCGGGCGCCTGCGTGGTTCGCGGAGTCGAGTTCCTTTGCAAGACCTACGGCTTCGGCACCGCCTGTCTCTGGGGCTTTGCCTCCCCTCGGCCTTGCCCTGAGGCCCCGCCGCTTTCTCCCCCCCTCCCTCCGCCTAATTCAAGCTTCGCGCGGCCCGCTTAACTTCGACCGGAAGAGGTGCGCTCTCGACCAGCGGATCAAAAGTGTTTCGCGGCGTCGAGTTGTTTTTGCTCGCGCCGTCGGATCTCGGGAGGGGGAAACACACACACAGACACAACAAACCGCCCAGCCCCAGCAGAGGGGAACTAGGGGAAGTGTGTGGGGGGGGGGGAGGGCGAGAGCCCAGAGCACATGCGACAATGTGGGGCATGCTGGGAGTTGTGTCTACTTGTTTTTGTGTGTCCCTGGGACCCTTCGGGATCTCAGGGCAGGGGAAACGGTCCGTCTCACCTCGAGTCTGCTGGCGGCACGGCGCGGCACTCACCACCAGGGCTTTTGACCATGAGACCCCGAGCACGAGCGTGCGCTCGGAGGAAGAAGAAGATGATCAGTAGGGCGACAGAGGAGGAGGAGCAAGAAGAGGAGCCGAGGGAGGAGGAGGAAGAGGAAGGAAGCGAAGGAGGAGGAGGAGGAGGAGGAGGGGAGGAGGAGGAGGAGGAGGAGGAGGGAAGGAGGAAGGGGAAGGAGGAGGGGAAGGAGGAGGAGGAGGAGGAGGAGGAGGAGGAGGAGGAGGAGGCAGGAGGAGGAGGAGGAGGAGGCGAGGAGGAGGAGGAGGAGGAGAAGGGGGAGGAGGGGGAGGAGGAGAAGAGGAGAAGGAGGAGGAGGAGGAGGAGAAGGAGGTGGAGGAGGAGGAGAAGGAGGAGGTGAGGTCGCTCGAGAAAGCCGAACTGTGCCCTCGCCGAGGCGGTGTGCAGGGGCTTTCTGGGATTTCCCCTCTTGCCGTCGTTGCGCGGACGGCAACCTTTCCTCGCCAAGTCGCCAGAAGCGGGGCTACGTGCGCGCGCCAGCGTCTTCGTTCGCCAGGTGGGAGCGCGCGCCTCTTTCAATACACATTCGTGCCAGCATTCAGGTCGGAGGAGGAGGAGGAGGAGGAGGAGGAGGAGGAACTCTTTGGAACTCTTTGCTCGCGGACGCTCGTCCTACACTCCTTCCTGCTTCCAGACATCTGCTGTCAGTCCGAAGCGTCTGAATCCTCCTGCGTGGCCCGTTGGTCTAAATTCTGCGGTGGTCCTCCCGCCGCCGCCAACAATCTCTGAATCTTCGTTTGCGTCTGAAGCTCCTTGGCTACCTGACGCAACTGCTCAGGGTCTTGCCCGTCATTGCGGGCACGGGCCACGACAGGAGGCTCGGCGGGGCCCTCCCACAGGCTCAGGCTGCGCACTCCCCTTGGCCTCGTGGGCCGACACGACACGACGATCATCTCTCTGAGCCATGGCCGTCTTAATGGTTCTTGGGGGGCTTCCCCGCCGAGGAAACAAACCGAGATCAATTCTGCGCAGATTCTCGGCCCGGTTCGGGGTGAGACTGTCACATTTTTTCGGCAGGTGCCTCGAGTCCACCGTAGCATACTTCCCGCACAGCGAGCAACTCTGAAGGAACCAGGGATCAACAAACGTGATCGAGTGAGACGGGTGGATCTCGAGATCTGCTCCAACCATTAGTTTGAACTCAGGGGCCCCAAGGCCGCGTTTCCCAGGGGGTCCAGAACACGGGGAAGCCGAGAAACGCACAAATCTGGCCCCTGGGACAATCAGTTCACACTGCGAGCATCTCCACTTCCTACTTTCTCGAGCTGGTGAGACGAGGATTTTATAATTCTCTCCTGCTTGGAGAGCTTCTTTACTGCTGGGGCTCTGCTGGCTCGCTCTCCCGTCTCAGCCGAGGCGGCCAACGCGAGCGCTCGTCTAGCTCTTTTGCGCACCAAGTGCGCAATTGAATCGATTATGTCCGTGTTAGGGTTCCCCCCCCACCAGCCCGAACTCCCACGCCAGCTCCGCCCCGACTCCCGCCCAGATATCCGCAGCAACATTCCCTGCAGCTACGAGCTCCTGCTCAGGCGTGTTCAGCAGCTCTGGGGTCTCATCTAAGTGTGAGGCAGTCCATACAACATTACTTTCTCGATCTGGGTGAACCTGTCAGGCGACTCTAGCGCGGGTCCAGAGGTCCTCATTGGGACCCGTGGCTTTCGGATGCTCGAAGCGGTTTCTCCAGGATTGAGCGACCGTCCGATGGTCCGTGACAAAAGTGAAATCAGTGAGGCATTCTTCCAGCGCCACCGCAAAAGCTAAAATCTCCGATCGGGGAACTGTTTGCCTACTATCTGTGAGAGGTACAGCGAGGGCTCGACTGACCTCCCACTCTCCTTCATGAAAGCGGATAGCTGCTATTCCTGCTCCACATCGGCGGCGACGAGGGTCCGACGAATATCTGCCCCCTAAGCCGTCGCCAAAAATGTGGACCACGCCGTTAAATCTGCACTCCTCCCAGTCCCCCCAATCACCACACCGAACCTCCCTCCCCTCGAGTTCCTCATCATTAAAAACAGGATGAGTGAGAGAGGCTGGCGGCAGTCCTCGCAGCCAAAGTGCAGGCTGCGATTCCGCTTGCGCCATGGCAGCGGGCACCAGGGACTCAGTCTTTGCGAAATCCTCGTGATCCGTGTTCTTCGGGCAGAGCCATATTCTGTGCATGAGTGTCTCGTCCGCCTCCTTGCACCTGTCGCACAGCTTGCTCTCCAGAAGGTACCCTTGTTCTGCCGCTCGAGTCTTGTGCCACTGCCCGCCTGAGACCACCGTGATATTCAAGCCGTTCACGTCTAGGTGGCCCTTCTTCTCGAAGCGACGCTGCTCTGCCCGAATTTGCCATACATCTGCACCTGCTTCCAGTCCTTCTCCATTTGGGTGTGCTGCTGCCGATCGCCAAAGTTGCCCTCTTATGTCGTGCTCGAAGTCGTCCACTAACTGCTGGAAGCACCCTGTCTGCTCGAAGCTACCGTCCAAAGCCGACGGTAGATCATATCATCATCTTCTCCGACCGGCCGAGACCACATAGTTGTCTTTGGGGCGTACCATCCCACGTCCATGAGCGTCGCCTGTACTGCTCCCACTGGTCCGCGTACTTCACGCCACCTCTTCGGTCCCAGCTTGACCAGTCGCGTGCGGATGAGCGGCCACGCTTTGACGACCCTGGGGTGTATCTCTGGGAACCGCTGCCACATGTTGATCCACTCCTTGATTACCGCCACGCGTACTGCAATGCCAGGGTCGCCAGTCCACATCTCCACCGCAAGCGTTGTCGTTAGGCACCTCCCGCGAGCCTTACCTCCTGCAACTTGTCCTGCTTCTCTGCGGAGTCGTTGAAGCTCGTGTAGTGCCAGCCCGAAAGCTTGGTGTCCATATACCGCTTGTGGTACCGCTCCTGCGCTGCATAATCCTTTGCTTTCTCTGGCCAGGGCCGCAACTCGACGCAGTCTGACGATCTTCGCAAACCGGTGCTTGGCTCTCTTGCTTCTCTGCTTAGCCTTCGTCGTGACTCTCTTTCTCCCTGCTGCCGTGTCCAGGCCCAGGTCGACCGCTTCCGTGACCGCTTGTAGAGGTATTCGTTGCTTCCTCATCTCCTTCGCCACCTTCTGCACAACTTTGGGGTGCGTGCCGATAAGGACTGATTTGCTCGGGATCGTCATCCTCTGCTCCTTGAGGCCGTCCGTGATAATCAGGGTCACGTGCTTGATGCCATCGCCTACCGTTTGTCTGCTCCTTCTTGGCGTGCCACTGTATCGTCCACGAATTGCCATAATGATGCTTGTGGTGCTTGGCGATGGGCTTGATCCAAGATTGTGTGAAGGAATAACTTGGCCAACCCTACTCCTCGTGCCGAGCCTGCCACCAGCGATCGCGTTGCCCAAATTGGCTCGCTGAGGATGTTCCGCTCTTGTAGGAACCTGGGGCCGCTGAATGCCGTAATCTCTAGCGCCACCACTGCTGCTGGAAATCCAACCTTGACCGCTATCTGACATAATATGACCAGTGACACTGTGTCGTAGAACTTCTCTATGTCCGAGAGGAGCGTCATGGCCGAGGCTCCTAGCTCAGCTCCAACCTCGTCTAGTACAGCTCGAAGCAGTCCTGCTCGTAGCGCCGAACTTCCGTTGAGTGCCATGTCCCAGTGCGCTGAGAGCGAGTCACTCCATCGTGCACACCATCCACCTCTCGCTCTCGACCATAGCTCAATCGGGAGCGCCAGCATGCCGAGTACTCTATCTCCTTTCGGTTTTGCTGCCAGCGCGCACTTCGTAGCTGCCCTTTGCCTCGGCCATGGAATGTCCTTCTCGCAGAACTGTAACATTTGTAGTCGCCATTGTCGTGCCTGCCGTGGAGGGCGTGCCACATCATTCGGTCCGAGGTGATCCACTCCTTTCGCCTTCGCCTCCGACGATGCCGCTATTGCTCCATCCAACTCCTCCAGGGTGAGCGGGTCTATGTCGTCTTCCAGGGCCTTGTCGCGCATGATGTCTAGTTGGTACGCGATATCCTCCTTCGTGTCCACAGGATCCGTCCATATTCGCTCCCACTCGTCCTTCTTGATGCTTATCATGATGTCTGGGTCCGCCACGCCTTCCATCTGCTCCGTGCATAACTCGAATCTGGGGGGGTGCTGCTCCGTGACGTGGCGGTGGAGTCCATCGACCTTCTCCTTCCATGCTTTCTTCGCCCATGTCGTGAAGCTCTTCCTCTGTGCCGTGATGCCCGTTGCCTGGGCCATAGCCAGGTGACCCTCTGCTTGCTGGGCCAGGTTCTTGATCTGCCCGTCGTCCAGGTCGGCCAGGTCCCCCAGCATCTCGTAGAACATCTGCTGTGACGCCTCTCCGTACTTCTTACCAAATTCGAGGGACTGATCCATGTCCTGCAGGGCCCTGCTCTGCGTCTTCGCGTCTGCTAAGCACTTTGCCCGCTGCCTGCCATCGGTACCGTTGGTGTGGAGGGCGTGGTAACGTACTAGGATCGCGTTCAGGATGCCCCAATGCTCCGCTGGCCCGAACTTCAAGTGCGTTCTCCCTGGTGTCGATCGAGCTTTTACCCACTTTACTTCGAAGCCTCCTGCGCGTCCACGGTATAGGTCCGCTTCTTCTTCTGCGATCTCGTCCGTGATGATAGCCGACTCCTCTAAGCATGTGACCCACTCCGCGCACATCCTGGTGGTCGCAGCTTCTGCCGACCAATGCCGCTGTCCACGTATAATGAGGTCGCCGTCCCAGGACTTGAGCTCGTCCGAAAGCTCACAATCGCGAATTCCTGATGCCAGTGTCTGAGTCCAAATCTCGTCTGTGATGTAGTACGGCTTTTCCTTCTGCCTCTCAGCCTCTTCTTCTATCGTCGTCTGCTCCTGGAACGCCTCGCGTAGATGCGGCTCAAGACGCTCTTCTGCTCGTTGCCGTTCTTCTTGCCGCTTGCGTGACCTCTTACTGTTCGGGTCTGCCTTCTTCTTTGGTTTGGCTGGCGTAGCCAGCTCCTTTGGTAGAACCATTCTGCGATGCCACCAAGGTCGCGAAGCTCCTTCCAAGGTCAGAGTGAGCCCACAATGCGTACGCCATGGTACCTTCCTGACGGCCTGCAGCTTTACCTTGTCGACGTAGTCCGTCCTAGTGATGCCGTAATCTATGAGGCTGCCTTTCCCCTTGTCGCATGTGACCTCCACATCTGGCTTGATGAGCGCGCCCCCAATCTGCTGGACGAAACCCGTCTTGGTGATGTCTTCGAACGGCACGTTCCAATCTGCGAGGATCACCCATGGGTCCGCCATCGCCTTCACAAAGCCTGCCAGTGAGCGCACTCGTTCTTGATTAACTCCATGCATACCGGCGCCTGGACGCCAATATGCAGATATCAAAACCACGTTCCCCGCCTTAGTATGGAGGTTGACTGCCGCGAAACCGTAGAAGGGGTCCTTTTTCCCCTCAACTTGTAATCGTTCGCGGATTGTGTCGTACGTCGAGCAGGCGATGTGGGACTTGGCCAAGATGATCTCACCCCCAAGGTTACCTAGTTCCAAGCGCTTGGTAGGCACCGCCGCTGTGCCCGTCATCTTCCAGCCGTTCTTAGCCACGTCCACCTTCACCTGCTTCAGCTTGTCGTGTGGTATGTGCGTCTCGCACATCATGATGATATACATGTCGGTGCCCTCCTCGTTGATGTACTTGTGGGTCTTTGGGCCACACTGCGTGATATTGGAGAAGAAGATCCTGCTAAAGACAAGGGTCCCCAGCAGCAGCAGCAGGCTCCTCGATCTTGCCACCTGCCTTGGTCTTCGCATCGCTCCTGAGCCTGTCGAGTCTTTCCTTCCGCTGCTGGATCTCCTCTACCGACGGCTCCGCTGCTGCTGCCGAAGGTGTCGATCCTGCTGCCGCTGGCGATGAATATGCTTCAGGTTGACGCGCTGGTTCTGCTGCCACTGCTCCTGATTCTGCCTTGCGCTTCTTGGCCTTGTGAGACGCGTGGATCGCGTCCGCCTGCTTCTTCGCCTCCGTGAAGCCCGTGTATTGCTTCTTCGCCTTCTTCAGCAGTGAAGCGAGGGCCTCCATGTCCGACTTGAACCTGAATAGCTTTTCTTTATCCTCAGCTTCGTAATCCTCCAGGTTGGCGAAGAGGTCGGGGTCCACAGCTGGCGCCTTCCATGTTGCGGCCTCGTCCTCCGCTGCCGCTTGCCGCTGGGATCGCCCTGCCGCTGGGATCGCCGAGTTGGAGTACGCCCGCAAGGTCTGCTCGTGCTCCTCCTCAGCATCCGCGGCCTCCTCCAGCGCCTTGTCGTGCTTCTCCTGCGCCAGCTTGAGCCAACGCTCTGCCTCCATGAGCTGGGACGCCGCTTTCCCCAACGCTGCCTTCTTCTGGTCCAGCTTGCTGATCGCCTGACGCAATGCCTGCGACTTGGGCACCTCCGACGGCTTCTGATCCTTCGCGATGAGAGGCCCGAGGTCCACCTTCTCTTTGCCTTGCCGAAAGCGCCTTTCCCGTTGTAGAACTTGTCGAGGATCTGCTAGATCTCATCTGCAGGTGACTGCCCCAGGGACTTCCATGGCGGGGAACTCCTACCTCGTAGTCCTGCAGTCGTCGGTCCCGCTGAGCTCCAGCCCGTGATGTAATTGTCGCACTTGTTGCACCATCCGCCCGAGCGCTGGAGCTCCCAGTCGAAGACCCAGCCGCTGCAGCCGCTGCACACCGTGTACGTCCGACGCTTCCGCATGGCGGCGTCGTGCTGCACAGTGCTCGGGGTTGCTCCAGCAGGAGCTCACACATGCGCGGCTCGATCTGATCGAGCGGTCCTGACCTGGGCGAACAGGCCGCAAAGTTGAAGACTGTGCTCGGACTAGAGCAATCCTTGCAAGCTCGGAGGCTGAAAGGCCCCCAAGCATGTCACCTTCAGCCAAAATGGCTACGGAGGAGGAGGAGGAGGAGGAGGAGGAGGAGGAGGAGAAGGACGATGAGGTGGAGGTGGAGGAGGAGGAGGAGGAGGAGGAGGACGAGGAGGTGGAGGGTAGGAGGTGGAGGAGGGAGAGGGAGGAGGAGGAGGACGAGGAGGAGGAGGAGGAGGAGGACAAGTCCCGAGGAGGACAAGGAGGAGGACGAGGGAGGGAGGAGGAGGATGGAGGCACGCGCGGATGACGATGATGGATGATGCTGATGATGATGATGATTATGATGATGATGATGATGCTCATGATGATGATGATGATGATGATGAGTTGGTGGTGTGATTGGTGATGATGATGATGAGGAGATGATGAGATGATGAGGTGGTGGTGGTGATGATTATATGATGATGAGAGTGATTGATGATGATGTGTGATGATGATGATGATGATTGATGATGAGGCTGAGGCTGAGGCTGAGGCTGAGGCTGAGGCTGAGGCTGAGGCTGAGGCTGAGGCTGAGGCTGAGGCTGAGGCTGAGGCTGAGGCTGAGGCTGAGGCTGAGGCTGAGGCTGAGGATGAGGATGAGGATGAGGATGAGGATGAGGATGAGGATGAGGATGAGGATGAGGATGAGGATGAGGATGAGGAGGAGGAGGAGGAGGAGTAGGAGGAGGAGGAGGAGGAGGAGGAGGAGGAGGAGTGGTAGTTGCAAGAGTCGGAGTTGAAACCAAGGTACCCAGCCCGAAAACACAGCGGGTCCCGCCCGCCCCTCGTCGCGTTTGGATGAGTTGGCATGGCTGTGCCAGCAACTCTGCATGATGTGTATAAGGGGGATGTCCTGCGGAAGGTATCGCGCTCGTTGCACGGGCTGTTATGGCGATTGTTGTTGCGGGTTGGGCTGAATCATTCTCCAGAGCAGTCGAACCTGTACCTGGTCCGATTATATTTCCCCGAGCTTCTAGTTGGCTCAGATCGTGAACCAGTGAAGTATGAAGCTGCACGCTATTACGCGCCGTGGACTCACGAAGGGGCTCACACGGATTTGGGCGTGGATCCGCGTGCGAATTTGTACCTTTTATAGTGGTGGAGGCAAACATCTCTGTCATAGAATCCCCGTGCCCAAAGGCTAACAATGCATTGTATTTGCTCAAAAGAAGGGCGCAGCACAATGTAATGTCTTCACGGGCCCGCCGCCTCGAGGAGCAGCTGCTGAAGGCCCACGAAAGGTGCCGGCAGAGGCTGGCGCAAGAGGACCCAAGGGGCAGCAGGGGGCCTCCTCCTCCTCCGCCTCCCCCTCCTCCGCCTCCCCCTCCTCCTCCTCCTCCTCCTCCTCCTCCTCCTATCCCTCCTCCTCCGCCTCCTCCGCCTCCTCCTCCGCCTCCTCCTCCTTCTCTTCCTCTTCCTCCTCCACCACCTCCTCCTCCTCCTCGTCCTCCTCCTCCTCCTCCTCCTCCTCCTCCTAGGCTCAAATGTCTTTTTCAGGAGATACACGGCCGACTGCGCGTCCGTCACACTCCAGCGTCGCCCCTTTCAGTCTGGGGGGGGGTCGGGTCACCGACGCATGAGGCGGGTCTGTCGCGGGGAGCAGGGAGATGGCCATCTCGTTTTCGGTTGCTGTCTACAATCCTCTCAGTTTACTCTCTGCAGATCGCTTGACGGAGATTGCTGCACGGCTAAATGTTGACATTTTATTGCTGCAGGGCACGTGTATCAAGGAGTGGCAGGGTAGAACGTACCATATCGAACGGCTTGCACAGAGACGGACTGCTATTCATTTTGGCTGGGCCAGGGGCCCGTTCACAAACGCACACGCTGGTTGTTGTGTCGTACTCGGACGTCGCATACATGCATCGCATATCAAGAGTATTGTTAGCGCACCTAGTAGTATCATGGGGAGAGCTGGCGAAGTACGGATTAAGAGCGGGTCCTTCGATTTCACGGTGCTGAGCGTGTACCCACCCCCCGTTGTCCCATCGGGCCCCCGACGAGCCGCACAAGAGAAAGCAGTTAGTGCAGTCATGAATTTCTTCAAGGATAGAGTGTCTCGAGCGCGTGCACGCAGTACACTTATCTGTGGTCTCGACATCAATTCGAAGCTCGGCCTAGATGACCAGATGGCACCCTGTGACGAAGACGGTCTTTCTCTCGGTCCCCACCATTTAGGCAAGAACGGGACAGCAGGACGCATCTTCACCCAGACGTTGCTCGATTTCGAGTTGATGGCCCCCCATACGTACTACCCTAAATCAGGTCCGACGTACTATGGGCACGCAGGGGACTGTAATACATTGGACATACTGGCACTACCACGTATTCTAGGACCTAAAGTCACACGGTGTATGGTAGCATGGCGCACGGGACGAGAGTTACAACTTATTCCTGACACACGTCCACGTGATCACTTTCCTCTTCTTGTTGAGTTTTCTTATCACCTTCACTTGGCCCCGCTATCCTCCCAGAGAGTGGTCTGGGACTACAGCAAGCTCTCACAGGCTCTCCAGAACGGCATCGCTCGTAAGGAGTTCCACACTGAGCTGGAGAGGGAGATGAAGGGGACGGGAGGGGAGTTGCAGGAGTTGAGGGAGGATACGCACACTGATCATCATTATCAACGGTGGTTGGACATTGTACGTGCACTGGCTATTAAACATTTCTCGGTTAGCAACAATAGGGACACAGCGCACCGCCGGCTAAGCCTAGAAAGACTTCGACTTACTAAACAGCGTCAAGCTTACCGCTGGGAGGCCCACTTGTTCTGGGAGAGCTATGGCTGTGTTCCTGGAGTTTCTGAGGCACATCTTGAATGTTTGGTACAGCTAAAGCACATCACGTATTCACTACGTCGCCGGCGCCGTGTCGATCTCGCTCTTCGTAGGCAGGACGTGGTTGAACGGTTGAAAGAAGCTAGGCAACGACAGGATCAGGCTGAGGTTTATCGACTTGCTCGAGTTCTTTCGGGACGTTCTCTTGGGGTAAAAAATCGACTCCATAATCATCTTCCAGGATATAGACCAGATCTCCAGGAACTCCAAGAGCAGGTACGCAAGCCAGGGTGTGAGGGAGGCATGAACGCTACGTACTATCCAGAGTATGCTAAGATGGTGCAGGATTTCTTGAGAGACGAAGTAGGCGCAGGATTACTACAACGCAGCAGCACGAGAGAGGTGACAGCGGAAGTACTGGTAGAACAGATGATCTCAAAAATGCGTCGTAGTCATAAACGACGAAGTACAACGAGTTGGTCAGTACCAGTCGAAGTTGCTTTGATCGTTCTCGACCCAGGGCACCTCTCTCGGAGTAGGTACCAGAAGTTTGGAATTGGCTACGAGACTGATGCATCTGCCCAGGGGGTTGGCGCCGTTTCCGACCCGAGTCACAACTCGTCTTTCTTCAGTTTCTGGGATTTAGAGGAAGAGCCAGACTCGCAGCCAGATCGATCAGTAGAACTACCTCCCAGAGCTAGTGGTGATCACGTGAGTTGTCCTTCTCGGTCCCCTGACGGTCGGGAACACCGTCTTGCCTCTACGGACAAGTTGACGGCAGCGAGGTCAGAGTTTGTTGAGATTCTCATTCACTCTATGCGCGTGGAACAACTACCTACATGTTCTAGTGTCACGGAGGGGGTCTTCCTTGAAAAGCACAATGGCAAGGAAAATATGGGAGGGCTCCGTACGATTCATTTAGCTGATACATTTTGGAAGATCTTTTACAGCGTCATCTACTCTTGGGGAAATAAGAAACAAGGGTACTCACGGAACTTTTCCAGCAGATGGCACGGGTTCCTTCCTAACCGTCGGCGTGAAGGTGCAATTCTTGTCCAACAACGAGTAGGATGGACTTTACGCAGACTAAACATTCCGCACTTGAACGAATTGCATGACTTAACGAACGCATTCATGTGCCCACATCAAGATGAACTTCGTAAGCTGTACCCATTGATGATACGGGAAGACCTACATGTATTTGCTGAACAACGTCTCGTCAATAGTGTAGTCGTTTTTACCTTGCAGGGGGTCCCACACCATTTCATGACGAAGCATGGTGGGCTCCAGGGCTCTGGAGAGGCTCCTCAGCAGTTTGTGGGCGTCTTCGATAAATGCGTAGATGAGGTTGTAGAGTCACCTGAGCATACACCCCTCATGTTCATTTGCGAGGTCGGCGATCTAGGGATTACGGATCTTTCTATTAGTGGTTATGCAGACGATCTGTTTCGTAAACGACTTATCGATGTTACAGATGTACACGGTGTTTTAGCACAGATTCATCGCGGCGACGAAGACTTGAATTCGGTACTGGGGAAGTGGGGCTTCGCACAAAACATGAGCAAGAAAGATATCGTGCCTTTCCTATGTTCAGATAGATTGAATAAGGAACTTCAACAACTTTGCCCACAGGAACGAGGATGTGTCCGTCCACACGCGCGCCACTTGGGAGCACGATATAGCATGCGTGGCCATAATGCTGCTGAAGTAGACAATCGCATACGAGCTATTCATCGCGGATGGGCTCTACTTGGAAGATTTTGGAGCGAGCACGGCCTTAAACGACTTAAGCGTGAAGTATACCTAGGCGTGGTTGTAGGGGGTGGTCTCACAGGCATTGAGGCGTATGTGTTACGAGTGACGGAGTATAAGCGCATCGACTCAGCTGTAGCCAAGTACCTCAGAGTATTAATGCGGGGCTCGGCCACTAGCTGGACAGGTCCCCATGTTAAGACGATGAGCAACTTGGAGCTTCTCACGGAATGGAAGATACTACCAGCTCGGGGAGAATTGGCCATACGTCGAATCCGATGGCTACAACAGATGCTCCGTCATCGTTTTGCCAACCA